GCTCCTCCTCTAGGGAGGGGGCTTTGCTTTTCTCTGCGACCCCATTCTGACCCATCTTCCTCTCCCTCCAGGATCTGATGACCCAAAATGGAATAAGCTATGTCCTCAATGCCAGCAACTCCTGCCCTAAACCGGACTTCATCTGTGAGAGCCGTTTCATGCGTATCCCCATCAATGACAACTACTGTGAAAAGCTGCTGCCCTGGCTGGACAAGTCCATTGAGTTTATTGGTGAGGGGAGGCTCCAGAGGGTGTGTCTGTCTCTATGGGGTGTGGGAGCCTGGCTAGAGGAAGACTGGACAGAGGCAGAGGGGAGGACTACCCCTGGGGCCACCCAGCTCTGAGAAGTCGCCTGTACTGTCTGCCATAGAGAGGGTAGGGCCTACCTTGGGTAGGGAGGAATAGTGTAATCTCAGCCCTCACCTGGTCCCCCCCTCCATCCACCTGCCCCCAGATAAAGCCAAGCTGTCCAGCTGCCAAGTCATCGTTCACTGTCTGGCTGGCATCTCTCGCTCTGCCACCATCGCCATCGCCTACATCATGAAAACCATGGGCATGTCCTCTGACGACGCATACAGGTACTCTTCCCCTCCCGGCCCTAGGGACCTGGAACTCCACAACCAATGGCTAACAGCATTGCCCTCCTGTCTTGCCTCCACCCACTTGGATGGTACAACCTACTGCCCTGGCAGGGAGGGAAGGCTGGGGCCCAACACAAAGCTTGGATACCTAAGGGGGCAGTGGGTGCTGCACGGGGGAAATTGGGCAAGGCCTGTTCTGACAAATTTCTCTTGCTTGCCCAGGTTTGTGAAGGATCGACGCCCCTCCATCTCACCCAACTTCAACTTCCTGGGCCAGCTGTTGGAGTATGAGAGGAGTCTGAAGCTGCTGGCTGCCTTGCAGAGTGATGGACCTCACTTGGGGACCCCTGAGCCCCTCATGGGCCCAGCAGCAGGCATCCCACTGCCCCGGCTGCCACCATCTACCTCAGAGAGCGCTGCCACTGGGAGCGAGGCAGCCGCTGCAGCCAAGGAGGGCAGCCCAAGTGCTGGAGGGGATGCTCTGATCCCCAGCACAGCTCCAGCCACCAGCGCACTGCAGCAGGGCCTGCGTGGCCTGCACCTCTCCTCTGACCGCCTCCAGGACACCAACCGCCTGAAGCGCTCCTTCTCCCTGGACATCAAGTCAGCCTATGCACCCAGCAGGAGGCCTGACTTTCCCGGCCCACCTGACCCTGGCGAAGCCCCAAAGCTCTGCAAGCTGGACAGCCCGTCTGGGGGGACACTGGGCCTGCCCTCGCCCAGCCCCGACAGCCCAGACTCGGCTCCAGAGGGGCGCCCGCGACCCCGCCGGCGACGTCCCCCGGCCAGTTCTCCGGCCCGCTCCCCGGCTCATGGCCTGGGCCTAAACTTTGGAGACACGGCCCGACAGACTCCGCGGCATGGCCTCTCGGCCCTGTCGGCACCGGGACTGCCCGGCCCTGGCCAGCCGGCTGGCCCCGGGGGCTGGGTCCCGCCGCTGGACTCCCCCGGCACACCGTCGCCGGATGGACCCTGGTGCTTCAGCCCCGAGGGCGCTCAGGGTCCCGGCGCGGTATTCTCTGCCTTCGGCAGGGCGAGTGCTGGCGCACCTGGACCGGGTGGTGGCAGCAGCAGTGACCTGCGGAGGAGGGAGGTGCGGGCCGAACCCCGGGACCTGCGGACCGGCTGGCCTGAGGAGCCTGCTTCAGATACACAGTTCAAGAGGCGCAGCTGCCAGATGGAGTTCGAAGAGGGCATGGTGGAGGGGCGGGCACGTGGCGAGGAGCTAGCAGCTCTAGGCAAGCAAGCCAGCTTCTCCGGTAGCGTGGAGGTCATCGAAGTATCGTGACCCTTCAGGAGTCCCTGAGCCCCCGCTCCAGCCAGGCCAGGTATAAATATATATTATATATAACACAACAGAAAGGTAAATGGTTTTACTGCAATTTTTATCAAGAAGTAAATATTTCGATTTTTTTATTTATTTAAGCTAGTGATCTGGCAACTGTGCGGGGCGGTCCTCAAGCTCTGTTTTTACTGTCTGGTATTTAAAACTGAAATAGGTTTCTAAGCAATATGAGGCTACCTTCAATCCCAAGCTGGGTTGACAGGCCTGGGCCCCTCCTCGCCCCTCCCCTCTGGAAACATTACTGACCTTGCAAAAAGCTGCCCAGCTTTCCTGCACTTTTTACGTAAGAAAAGGGGAAAAGGAAAAAAATAACCCTTATTTGCCACAAACTGAGCCGCAGACCCCTTGCCCTTTCCTTTCCTTCCTCTCCTGGTCTCTCCTCTCCTGTCTCATGTCTTGGGCTCTGTAGCAAAGCCATAGGTAAGGGGAGGGGGAGGCCCTAGTGTCCCTGCAGAAAGCCCCACAGCAGCCTCTCCCCCGCACACCTCAAGTTGCCAAGTCTTAGTGGCATAGGGGTACTCTCTCTGCCGGTCCATTATCCCCCACCCCAGGGCTGTTCCTTGGCAGGTGTTGGTGGGCACTGGACCCAATGAACCAGAGTTTTCAGGGAGACTTGGACAAGGAGGGCGGGGTTCTTGAGAGCCAGATGAGGTAACCCCTAAGGCAAGGATGGAGTAGACTAAAGAGCTCACACTTCTGTGAGAGTGAGGTCTAGTTCCTCAAAAGGGCCCAGGAGGCCATTCAGAGGAGGATTCTCTCTTTCCTTTGCGGGTGCTCTTGCCCGTTGGGAAGCCCAGTAGCACCCCCAGCGTGGACTGGGGCAGTGTCAGTCGCTGGCGGGAGCAGCTAGGCTAGCTGGGGCTGGCAGGGGCTGGCTCTGCTGGTCAGAGGGGAGCTCTGGGTCCGGTATAAGTGGGGGTAGATCCAAGCTCTCATTCTGGGTTCTTCTTGCCCCTGGTGGGACTTGGAATTCAGGTGCACTTGTGGGTTGAGGGGTCTCTGGAGCAGGCCTCCTTACAGATGGAGCAAAGCACCTACCAAGCCCTTAGGTTTCCAGGAAGTGGGAATCCTCAGCTTTGGGAGAACTATCTCCAAGCAGAGAAAGACCCCATCTAGAGACAGATGCTGGGGGAAGTCCTCAGTGACTACCCCATCCCCCCAGGGGCTTCTCAGGAGAGAGTCCCCTGTGTGCTCCCTTCCCAGGATACTTTCCCAGTGTCTTCAAGATGGGATGCTTTTTTTTTTTTAATTTTAATTTTTTTTTCCTCAGAGCCAATCTAGGAGCAGGGACAGGAGAAAGGTGCCAATCACCCTTGCTGAATACCCTCTTGGGCCATTTGGGACCCAAAGTTTTGAGGCAGAATAGGGGTCCTTGCCCTCAGATATCCTCAAGTCTAGGAGTGGGGATGTCCTTTAGGAATAAGCTGGGGGCTTGGTAACAGGCAGCTGGGGCAGGACCGAGTCCTGGAGAAGACCTAGAGTGGCACCTTTCTACCCCCGCTCCCTTACTGTGCCCTTCTGTTTGTTCTTCCCACCCACTGCCCTGTGTTCCTGTCATTCTCCTCCCTAAGCAAAAATCCTGTTCCAGTTCTCTTGATCCCACCCATCCTGATCCCTGAGAAAATAAGCTATTGTTGTATTTGCAATCTATGGATTAGAGGTTTAAGTATTTATTATTATTGGTTAATTTTATTATTATTATTATTATTAATTATGTAAATTTGCCTCCTGTCTGTCATTGAATTTCTAAGGTGACCCTGGGTGTGGAGGATGCACTGGCTTCCCCCTCCTTGCCCCATCCTACTGCTGTCCAGGAGACAGTAGTTTGTGGCCACCAGTTGGACCCTAAAGATCCCCCTTGGGTCTGGTCCCTCCCCTCTCTTGGTGGAGATATGGCATCTATCCTGGACACATGGGGCCCATTGGCCTCAGTCTGTCTCTGCTCTCACTCACTCATGACCCTGGTCACTCCAAAGTGAGCAGACAAGATGGAGGAGAAGGTCTCAGCTGCCTGCTTCTGTGCAGGGTAGGGAGAGACGGAGCACAGGCCCATCCTGGTGGCTTTTCACCTACTCTCCGAGCTGTGGAGGGTATAGGGTCCTCTCTGAGCCTCTCCTGTTCTCTCACCCTCCTACCTGGTCACTGTCTGGCACTGGAATGGCCCAGAATGCACCTGCCCCCCTTCTGTTGTTTTCTGGAAAGTCCAGTATAGGAGAGGTAGCTGGTCCCTTGCCCAAGGCTTCTGGTCCCTGAGGACCAGGGTGCCAGCTTCCCCCTTGGGACCTTGCCCCATGAGACCGCACTTTCCCATCCCTCCTTTTGTATTTGAAACAATGTGTTGTAATAAATCATGAGAACGATGTTTTCCCCAGGCCTCTGCTGCCTCTTTCTTAGGGCTGGTTGTGGGAGAGAGAGGTTGGGCACTGGGGGGGCAGTCTAGAGGCTCCAGGAGACAAGGATCTGGTAAGTTGTGTCTGCAAAGCGGGCAGAAGGAAGAACCTGAGGTTTATCCTTGGTAGGCCTGGTATAGGACCTGGAATGTACTCTGAGGATATAAAATACCTGTTTTCTCATCTTCTCATAAAATAACTGAAAATTAGATAACTTTAAATATCAGTTCACAGGCTGGGGAGATGCTTCAGTCAGTACGGTGTTTGCTGGGCAAATGTGAGTACCTGAGCTGGCTCACCAGAAGCCAGGTATGGTGGCATGCACTTGCAATCCCAGAGCCAGGAGGCAAACACAGAAGGATCTTGGTGCTCCCTGACCAGCCAGCTTAGCCTATTTGGTGCCCCAGGCCAACTTGTATATGTCTCAAAACACACAAGTTAGATAGCTTCTGAGGAATGACACCTGAGGTTGACCTCTGACCTCTACACACATGTACATGTAAATGGCATATACATGTGCACACACAAGAGTTCACTTGTCAGCTGCCCCCACAATACAATCCTTCTGCAAACACCTCATTCCTTGTCTTTTCATACACACATACGTCACCACCGTCTTTCCAACAGACACGGGGTTTGCAAGTGATTCTTTTGTGTGACATGAGCACCACAGGCATACTGGAGGTGCTGACTTCTGCAGTACACAGACTAAAGCTGGAGCAGCATGGAGATCAGCATGGCCCTTGTGCAAGAATGAGACGGAGATTCATGACGAAGTCCGTATTTTTGAGATCCGCCTGGTACATCTACCAACTGATCCCTGGAGCAGCCCACCTTTCTGATCCCCTAGAGGATGTACCATTGGCCATGACTGTAGCCTCCTCTGCTTCATTCTTTCCCTCATCGCTCCCGTGGTAGGGAACGGTAAAAGGAGTCAGGCACAGACCTTGGGTCATGAGCTTCTCAACAGCCATCTTTTTCACCACCCCGACTGGGACCAGGAGTCTCTCTTTGGCTCCTTCTTCTTTTCACACTCTCATCCCCCCCAACCCCCAACCCCCAACCACAGATCCTTGGATTGGATGATTTCTGACATCTTCAAATTTTTTAAAGTTTGTTTTTGTTAAAAAAAAAAAGGGGGGGGTGCTGGAGAGATGGCTCAGCGGTTAAGAGCACTGGCTGCTCTTCCAGAGGTCCTGAGTTCAATTCCCAGCAACCACATGGTGGCTCACAACCATCTATAATGAGATCTGGTGCCCTCTTCTGGCCTGCAGGCATACATGCAGGCAAACACTATATACATAAATAAATAAATCTTAAAAAAAAAAAAAAAAAAAAAAAAGAGCAAAAGCATACTAAAGTGTCTGATGTGAGCCCATCGTTGTCTCCTGACACAGGGCTCCTCTCTCTGGACAGGCTGCCCCTACACCAGCGCAGACCAGCCAGTGCCCAGGCTTACCTACCATGTGTCATTCATTACAAGTTATGTGGCCGTGGGCATCCATGTACCATTCCCTAGGACAGACTTCCAGATGTGACTTTTCTGGGTCGCCTCAACATTTGGTTCTCATCTTAACAGTATGTGAGTAGACTACCCTAGATGCCCTGTGGGAATTCCTAAGTGAGCTTTTTGGAGGATCTTAGTTCTCATCCCTGCCCCTGGCTAATGCAGAAGTCTCTATGTTTGTCCATTCTGTTCAAGAGACCCTTTGTGCTTTTCAGACAGACAGTGACATTGGCCACTTGTATGTGTGTGTGTGTGTGTGTGTGTGTGTGTGTGTGTGTGTGTGTGTGCGCGCGCAAGCGTCAGAAGATGGAGGAGGAAGAATCAGGAGAGGAGGGGAAGAGGATGTGGCTAACCCCTCTTCTAGCGGATCTTGAATTCTGCATCCTCAAGAGCCCTCAAAGAAGCTGAAAGCTAGCAGCATAGTCTGCCTCTAGCAAGGCTATTTTTAGCTCAAGAACATCTATTTATAGCCCTGGCAGCCCCTAGGAGTCAATAAAACCAAGGACTGGAAAAAGCTGATGGTTGTCTCAAGCAGCCCGGGTAACTCCTTCCACCCTCGGCGCACATGAGCTCCTGCAGATGCAGAGGGTGAGTGACAGCCCTTCTCCTGCGAGACCAGCTGAGAGCATAGGCCTCGGGATCCTGGGGACAGTGGAAGACTCCACATGAGAGTGAAGGAGGTGCCATTTACTAACTCACCCAAGGACTCGGCCAAGGACTGCACAAGAGCGGAATATGCTGGGCTGGCCCTCTGTTCAACTCCTATACTACCATACCTAGATACATAGCCTCCTCTAAAGGCCTGACCCCAGCTTGCACCTCTCTCCCCAGCCAGCCAGGAACTGTTAACAGTAAGAAGGACAGAGAGAGAAAGAGGAGAGAGGAAGAGAGAGAGAGAGAGAGAGAGAGAGAGAGAGAGAGAGAGAGAGAGTGTGTGTGTGTATGTGTGCAAATGTATGTGACTTTGGAGACAGGTTATAATACATAGCCTCAAGACTAGCCTCAGATGGTAGACAGGTGGGAATGTGGGATGATAAATGAATAGAATAAATAGATGATGAGGATGAAAAATAAGGAGGATGGATGAATGGATGAATGGATGGATGGATGGATGGATGGATGGATGGATGGATGGATGGATGGATGAATGAGTGAATAGACAAGTGGTTGGGTGGATAATAAAGTGGCTGGATGGCTAAAAGGGAGCGGGGAGTGAAAGTGTGCATGGATAAATAATGTACTATTACAATGGAGCTCTTCTTATATTAAAGGCATGTGTTCAGCCACGCATGGTGGTCCAAGTCTATAACCCCAGCACTCAACTGAGGCAAGATGATTGCTTGGAGTTCAAGGCCAATCTGAGCAACATGAAATCTATGTCTCAAAAATGATCAAAAAGGGGCCAGGGAGATGGGTCAGCAAGTTAGGGCTCTTGCTGTCAAGCCTAATGACCCCAGTTCAATATCTGGGACCCATATAGTGGGAGGAAAATATCAACTCCCATACATAGGTTGTCTTCTGAATTCCACATGCAAATTGTAGCATGGACACACCCACAAATATGCAGGTGCATGGCCACACATATAATAAATAAATGTGAAAAAAAACCCAAGCAAATGGCAATAATAATAATGAAGCTGTGTACTTCTCCCTGTTCAACACTGTGCTGTAGACAGGCACTAGCCTTAAACATAGAGGGCATTCAGTGAGTACCCTCTGAGTAAGCCACACATTAGCAGTTCTAGGGCTGCGTACCACCACAGAGTCCAGTTTCTCTTCTAGGCCCAGAGAGAGGAGATGTTTTGTCCAACGTCCCCCAGCAAGTCAGGGGCAAAGTGGGCTGGACTAGGCTCCCCATTTGCTCCATTGTCATTTCTTCCAAGGCTCTGTGAAAACTCCCTGAAGATGTCCTAGAGGACTGCTCTCAGTGGTTTTATGTGACCTGTGCTGCCCTAGGTGGATTTGTCAAAGCACTTCTCCACTCAGGACTGGAAGGACTTTGGGGAGCAATGTGGGAGGCCAGTTCTCAGGAGGGCATCATTTAGCTTCCGAAGGCTGAGTGGTTGGGAGAAGCTGGGGCATGTATAGGTAGGGGCCATTGCAGAGGGTCACCAGGCAGGAGAAATACAGAGGATACACAGCCAGGAGCCATGGAGGTGCTGGAGGCCTTTGTCTAGGCAGGGTGCTCAGGAGATGGATTGAACCTACCTGGCTCCGAAGGGCCAATAGGGAGGGACTACAGAGGATTCTCCAGAAAGGTGGCTCATCTCAGGGTGGTTTCAGGGGTTTAGGAGCAAGCCCCCCTAGAGAAATCAAATCCTACCTAGAAGTGAAAGCTAGACTAGGGAGGCAGGAACAGCTCCAGGCCCATTCTAGGCCTCAGAGCATTGGTCTCTAGAGGTAAGGTACTTCCTGGAAACAGAAGCAGGCACTCTGAAGTGGTGATATCTTTATGAAGGGGTTGGGCCCCTTTTGGATCAGGAGGAGAGCCAGTCTTGCCCAAAGAAGAAGGAAAGAGGAGGCCATCTGAGCCAATTTCCAAAATTGTCCTGAAGGGTCGAGGAACATAAAAGTGCTCTCTCTTCTGCTACCCACCCCACCCTCGCCCCAGGCCACAGAGGAGGATGCTGCAAAGGGCAGGCTTATGCCAAAAACCAAGCAGATGTCTGGTGAGCTCCCTCCAGCCTTTCCAAGTAGAACAAGGCTTGTCTGACTTTAGCATCTGCCAATGCACCCCTTCCCTCTCCAGGAGCTCCTGCAGTAGAGGTGATCTCAGAAGGGGGAGGGTCTGAGACTTTCCCTAAGTGGAAGGATACTAAAGGTGCAGGTGTGGCCTAGAGATATGCCTCTACATCTTTGCAAACACCAACCTGGGAACTAGATCACTAGCCAAGGGAAATGCTAGCATCCAAAGGCAAAGTTTCCTCTTACCCTTTCCTCACCAGGAGTCACACCAAAGCACGGGGATCGGTGGCACCATTGGCATCCGTAGAGGAAGCCAGACTCAGGCTGATGATGCAGTTAGTGGACATGACTATAAATAGTGAAGGAGAGCCTTAAATAGAAGTGGTGGAGTGAGTCCCCGAAAGGCCGGTGGGGAGGAGATTGGACCTGAGTGCATGCCTAACTAGATCTAGAGGAGGCAACAAAACCAGTCCTGGGTCCTCAGTCTCCCACTGCCCCTGCACAGAGTGTCGGCTCCCAGGAATGTGTCAGGGAAGAGGATAAAGTCAGGGACCCTGTCCATCCACACTAGGGTGGTACCTCACAGCACCACCCTGGAACTGGGGAGGTTCAGGGAAGTGAGGACCTGTGTTCCTCCAAGCTCCTTTTCCACAGCAGCTCCTGGCCTTGGGCTTTCCTGGATAGCAGCCTCCCCTCCCGAGGGCTGAAGGACTAAGTAGAAAGGAGAGAGACTGCCCTACCTCTCTCTGTCCTTTTCTAGTCAAGCCCTTGAATTTGACTCCTCCCACACCGGATAAGGTCCAGATGGATTGGCACTCCACTTTCCCTGAGTCGGGCAGTCAAGTATCCTCCCTGAATACCTTGGTCTCCTCCCTCAGAGCCTCCTCCAGGTCAGAGGTGGATCTGACACAAGAGTCTGGGTGAGACAGCCCACATGTCCAAGAGGACACTACAGCTAATGGAAACCCAGGCACAAACTTTAGGCTCCCGGCGCCTGTCCTGCTTGCTCAGGCTCCTCTCCATGTCTTATTCACTCACATAAGCGTTGTGCGCCTAGGCCCAGGCCAAGCACCAGTTAGGCAGACAGCATTGGGTAGCCACACTAGGCTGAGTCCTGGAAAGAGAGAACCCTACAGCCAATTAGAGACTTCGTCCAAGTTCTCACTGAGCACATACCCTGCCTGGGACTCCCCACCCAGCTACCCAGCTCTTTAATCTCCACCGGTGGGGAGGGAGAGAGAAAGGGAGGGAGGAGAGGTAAGACCTTTTGACATGAGTCAGCGCTAACCTGAACCACGGGCTTTAGGATAGTAGGACCAAGTGGAAAGAGGAGGGGGCATTTGGGCCTCACCCCTCCCTTTGCCAGTAGCTAGCGGCCTTCCGCCCCGCCCTCCCCCCAACTTCTGCATTCGCGGCATGAGTAGAGTGGGGAGCGCGCTACTGTGCCAATGGGAGTGGGCACGGTCTTGTAGGAGGTCTGCGGCCACTGGCTGGGTGTCTGCTTGGTTAAGAGGTACCCACGATAGCAGTGGCTAGCGAAGGAAAAGCGAGTGTGCGTGTCCTAGGAAACAGCTCCTTCCTGGGCCCCCAGATGGT